CTACATTAGTTGCAAGCTGATCGCAAGTTTGTTGCAACAGCCAATCTGAAGCTTGCATTTTGAAATCAACGCTTCATACTAACTATCGCAACAAACTTGCGATTGGCTTGCAACTAATGTAGAACCGGCTTTAGATACAATTATTATACAACTTACAGAAATCCGCTATGTGTAGTACGTGACGCTGCCAAGAGAGGGACATGTTATTCGTAAAAAGAAAACGCCGCGAAGTCCTATAAAATGTCCTACATAGATCAGTCTATTCATATTCTACCAGCTTTTTTAACTGTTTTTATACGGATCTATCCATATTTAAAAAATGTATCCGTTTTTAATAGGCTGAATATGTACTTTTTAAATCGTAATTTCCTCATAAATGAGAATATATTTTGTGCCCGTACGTATTCACATGCAAACATAGACTGCGCCGGCAGCGCGTTGGAGAGGTAAAAGAGGAAGTCTTAATTTAAAAAAGTGGGCCGGGCTATACCTCGAGTGGCCGGAACGTTTCTATTGGCGCGCTCTCATTAGTACAATTGCAAACATTAATATCTCGATTATTATTACGAATATCGCTAAACGGTAAAGGACTTTTATGTTTATTTCGATTCCATCTACCTTCCTATGAGCGGTTGGAGAAGTCTCGCGGGACATCCTATATATATCTTTAACTGCAATTTTTTTAATAATTTTTTAACGCAAATTATGCAAGAAAATAAATAATAAAGTATTGCCTTATTTGAAATGCCGAAGATGGTCCGGATACAAGCCCTCCCAAATGCGCTGTGACGTTACACTGCAACAACGAAACCACAATTATTCAATAAGAAATTAATTTATTTTAAAAATGAGCAAAGAAAACACATTCAAAACGTGTTTTATATCTTTACGTAAAAGTATACCAATTAAAACACCGGAAAAATTGTTCTTTTATGTGCCTCAAGATAAAAATGTGAAAAAAATGGTTTAAAAATTCACATCGTATTGATGAATTAGAAAAATGGAATTACTTTTATTATAAAGATTATTTTGATGTACGTATTATATAAAATACGTTTTTTGTTCTTTAATAAAATAATTATAAAAATATTCATCATGTTTATGTAAAAATGTTCAACATAACCTTAAACATAAGTTAAAACATTGAATGTCAAATGTAAAGGTATAATTATAAAAATATTAATCATGTTCATGTAAAAAAGTATTCAACATAACCTTAAACATAAGTTAAAACATTGAATGTCAAATGTAAAGGTATTTTGGGATTTTGTGAAATTATTTTAAAATTATAATTCATAATTAATAAAAAAATATGTTTTTAATGTGTAAATGCCATTTTTTAAATGTTTAAAACCTTACATTAATAAAATTTATCAGAATAACTTGCTTTCTCAATTTTCAAAGATTTTTTCTTTTGCAAACGTCATGAAATTATCAATTTACAATGAATTGTTTAGTGCAAAAGTTAAACATTAACTGATGAATTGATAATATTAATTGTTCTTTTCTATTGATAATATATAAACTGTTCCCCGTAAAAAATTTTTCATGAATATGTATAAATATGTATAAACATACATAAATACGCAGAAATGTTCTTAAACATGTTTAATTATATATGAAATATGTCCATACATGTTCATACATCCGTCCTTCTTTTGTAAAATTACTTTTTAGTGTAATAAAAAGAATAATAATAATAATGTGAAAGCATATAAAATAATTAAAGGGATAATTTTCGTATTGTTTGTTTTAGAAAAAAACAAGTTTGGAAAAATGTAAACAAAAATTGCTCATATATAACTATGCATAATTTTATATATAATTGTAAATAAATTTTTTTACACTTCCTCAAACTGATTTTTTCTAAAACAAATAATGCGAAAATTATTCCTTTAATTATTCTTTATATTTTTATATTACTGTTACTATTATTATTTCTAGTACCATGGTATACTAAAAAAATAGTTTTACAAAAGAAAAAAGGATGTATGAACATATATGGACATATTTCATATATACTCGTAATTATACATTTATATGAATATTTATGCATGTTATGTATATTTATACATATTTATATATATTCATGCATAAACAATTTTTTACCGTTCTTTCCTCTTTATGTATATCTTGACTGATTATCTAATTGTTTTTGCTTTAGCTTGTTCAGTTACTTTATAAAATTAGAGTTGTCACCTAAATTTTAAGTCGTAGATTCAAAATTTATTGTCATCTCATTAGTTGTAATAAATTTTTTTGAAGTTGCAATATTAGACAAGGCTGATTTTCTCCAATAACATTCAACTTCAGTTGCAGATATGGTTTATTAAGGGATAATTAATCCACATTAAGAAGGGGCTATACCATGCTTACATTCTCCTATAATTAAATTCAATATATTTTCAAATATTTTAACCTTTTGATGCTGCACATTTAAAGTATTCTACACGTTAAACTATTTTTTTTCTTTCGTCAACAATACAGATTACAGTATAATCTTTTTGTAGAACTCTGTGTTCAGGGCACACACACACACACAGATTCTTCCTTTTACTGCACAAATAGAACCTTCCCGTTTAACGTTAATATAACCTATAGGTTATATTCTACTATAGCGGAGTCAGTGTAATTTTCTCTTGATGATCTATAATAGATATATTAATTATAATATTTATTCACGCTACTTAGAATAAAATTGAAAAAAATTACCATTGTAGTAATAAAAATGTACTTATAAAGTTGCTTTTATTCTTTAAACTTCTGGAATATTATATTACTCACATAACAATTAACAATATATACTCCCAAACCACAAAGTCGCTGAATCGACTTTAATGAATCCTGAATCCAGTTGGTTGGCATTTTATTTTAATATTCTTAATTTATAAAGAGATTTTTAAGAAGAAAATTTTAAGATTTCGGTTTAGCCTTTTATAGCGTAAGCAGATAGTTGCAGGTTGCAGACGACTTACTGCAGTGTGACGTCACGCACTCATTAGTCAATCAAAATTGTTTCCTCAAATTTCAAATATCATTAAACTTTATTTTAGTTTTTTAGTATCTACTTATTGCTAAAAATTACAAATTTTATTATACATAAATTTATAATAATGCATATTTCCATAGCAAACAAAAAAATTATATTATTTTTTTCATGCAAACTCCCTTTGTATAAAATGCGGATATATTTTTTATCGACTCGTATTTGCATTTGTGGATCTGAATGTTCACTGGACTTATGTGGAATTACGATTTCAAAAGCACATATTCAGCCTACTAAAAATGGATATGTTTTTTTATACGGATCTGTTAGGAATTTCCGACAGAGAAAATTCTGAAAAAAATTTTTACTAAAGATGTACCTACATTTCGCATATAGCATTCATAAATTTTCGGTTTTCGGATTTGCCAAGAAAACAAACGTATTTTCGTGAAGATTACTTTGTCATTAAGTATACCATTTATTTTCGGAACGTAGAGTACATTCTCGCGCATAAATGCCGCACACTAGCGGCATCTAGCTCGGACAGTCTCGATCGAGTCCTTGTCGTCGAATGATTAGATTCGTCCTTCTTGTCTGCGTGTTGTTTTCGTCGTCGTTTCCCGTAAAATTGCCACGATCGGCAGAGGAAGAGACGGAAATGTCAAAAATGTTCGCGTTAGATTTCGAAGTTTTCGGCATCGTGCAAGGTAACGAAACTCGTCCGGTGACTCGTCTTCAATTATCAATTTTTTTCGTCGATTACTTTATTAATAAATTTATGATTTTTTATTTGTCGAAGGTGTATTCTTCAGGAAGGTGAGTAAATCAGCTCGTGTCTATCTGGGAATTCGACAATGATTATTTGAGGCTGCCGGAAATGCGATTGACGAGGCGATTCAAGCGAGAACCTTGAAATTTCTATTTCGCGACATCTACCGGATGTCCGATATTAACCAATCTAAATGTTCGCGTTACCTACCGTAAACATGAACACACATCCTTCTTATCGATATTTTTAATGCAATTATATCTCTTGCTGTTCTTTTCTTCCGATGGACGAAATCTGAATTTTTAGTTTATTTTTATTTAGAAAATATATTGACGCTTATAAGAGATTTTCAGGCTTTACGAAATTAAAATATTTTCTTCGTATAAAAAAAAATTATTAAAGAATATTATTAAAAATTAGCTGCTCAAAACGGATATAAAAACGGATATAATTATTTATTTATATATTAATTTCTAATTAACAAGCAATTTGAGACTTCTTTAATTCGTAATATCTTTTTGCGATTTGTAGATTGAAAAAAAAATACTATTTGACATAAATTCTAAAACTTGAAAACAATTGAAAAGCACAGACAATAGGAACAGGAAATAACAAATTTTAACTTATCAGAAATCATGTTTGTCAGAGCACAGTCTTAAACTTAGGTCACTTAAACTACAAACACATAAAACATAAGACAATAAGATTTAAGCAATAAGTGAATCGACCAACCATAGTAAAGAGCGTAAAGTAGATCTCTACTCTGATTGGCCGATTTGCTCATTGTTTATGTCTTACTGCCTTACGTTTTTTTTTAAGTGTTTCTGGCTTTTAAATGAACATAAAACCAAAGTATAATACTAAAATTTACCCGGATTGCATTAAGAGAGAAAATTGTTAATTTATAAGAAGGACAAAGATATTCCATCAAAACAAGACACATTCCGTCTGAAATAAAATTTAATAGAATTTAACATAAATAGATAACTTTAAGTTCTTCTACTTTAACACAAAACCGTCACAATTTCATCTACTATCTTTCATCGTCGGGAAACTTATAGCGAATTCGATCGGACGCACTCAGTGTGCACTAGTGCACATTAAAGCCGGTATACACAAAATAACGTAAAGATATGTTTATAAATAAACATAGAAGTCGATTAAATCATGAAATACTCAATACATTTTATTGTACTATTAGATAAAATATATATTTTATAATTTGAAATATTTGCATTTTTATATTCAAATTACGTCAATGAACAACGGTTTTAATATGTACCAATGCGCACTAGTTCTTCCAATTGAATTCACCATTAGGCATATTGTCTTGCTTGTGGATAACAGTACACGCAGAAACGCTGCCAGGAGCTGGGTCTGAAGGGATGGTGCATGAACACCCCGAACGGTACCGTACTTGGCCACATGCAAGGGACAAAGGAGCAGATCAACGAGATGTAAGCCGCGGACGCCTCGTCGATACGAAAAAGTCATCGCAAATGCCAGATTACGGTCGCTTCCTCTTTTTTTATTTTAGGAAACAATGGCTTCGCTACGTCGGAAGCCCTCAATCCCGGATCGACAAGACGGAATTCCGTAACGAGAAAGAAATCACGCAGCCGTCGTTCACCAACTTTGAGGTCCGAAGTTAGAAATGTTCTCTAATTTTCGAAAACGAGAAATAACAATACACGCATTAACGTTCAAATTTTTAAATTATTTAAGTCGCGTCTGATAATAAAACTATATTTAAATAAATGTAAAATGTAGATAAGTATTATGTATATTAGTGTTTGTAATTTAAAAAATTATATCCAAATTTTTTCACTCTCCAAATGTCATCTATCGCACGAAATATTGAGAAATGAATTAAAAAAGGTTTTTTTAATATTGCAAGAAATAAAAAAAGGTTTAACAATTTTTAAATAAAAAAGTAGGGACGATTTTGTTTCTCATATATCAACAAAATTTTGGTTGTATAAAATGATTTCTCTCAGTGAAAGAACGTTTTAGCTGAAAAATCTAAAATTTTGCATATTTACAGACCTAAAAATAATTTTGTTAGATCATAAGAATAATTTTCTCGGAAACTCAAACTGATTGCCCTCCCTAGAATATCAAAATTTTCTGCAGTAACGAAATAATTTTTAGGTGTGTATGCAAAATTTTAGATATCTCAGCAAAAACATTCCTTCCGTCTGTTCTTTATCAGACAACTCCAGAATATTTTAGTTTAGAAATTGAAGCGATGTAGAAACATTCTAAAAATATTTTCGTGAATTAGTTTGAAATATTTTAATCCTTCTATATATAAAACATATTTTTTTAATATTAAAAAAATATTTTGTGCATGGAATCAAAAATGAAAACTGCTGAAATATTGTGAATACTTTTATCGCATTCTGAAAATGCTTTCTATATTTTTGACGTTTATGATGAAAAATGATTCACTACTCAAACTAGGTATTCACCTTGAAAAGTCGTCGAGGAAAGAATGTTGTTTTCAGGTAATTATGAAGGAGACAATAAATTTGTTTTTGCTACATTAGAACTTTCTTTCTCATTTTCGGTGAATTTCGAGCATATATTTTATTTCACTTTAAAGTCAAAGCTTAATTAACACTTTGCGTTGATTAGATTATACTTTTAGATCTAGAAAAATATAATTGTTTCCTGTTTCAATAAAAAAAAACTTTTAACAGTTGCAGAATAAACATTTTACTAAGTGATTAAAATTCAACTCTATTCTTTTCCAGAGCGTTCAATTCTTCAAATAAATTTTTTTTTATCGCGGAAAGATAGAAATCTTATCAGAAAATTGCAAGAACGTCCTTCGTGAAATGATCAACTAATCGCTTCAATTTCTAAACTAAAATATTCTCGAGCTACCGTAATAAAAAACAGACGGAAATGGTTTTGCTGAAATATCTAAAATTTTGCATACAGACCTAAAAATTATTTCGTTACTGCAGAAAATTTTGATATTCTAGGGAGGGCAATCAGTGAGAAAATCAGTTCCGAAAAAATTATTCTTATGATCTAACAAAATTATTTTTAGATCTGTAAATATGCAAAATTTTAGATTTTTCAGCAAAAACGTTCTTTCACTGAGACAAATCATTTTATACAACCAAAATTTTATTGATATATGACTAACAAAACGTCCCTATTTTTTTATTTAAAAATTGTATTGTCAAAATTTAATTATTTTGACTAGGATGACATAATTCTTAAATGAAAAAGTAAGAAAGTTTTTATTAGTCACGTATCAACAAAATTTTAGTACGTACAACACAATTTTTCTCAATGTTCCGTGTGTCTATTACTAGACAATTAGCTTGAAAATATTTTATTTTAGCAATTAAGATCTGCAAAATTTTAGGTCCCCCCTTGGGAAAATTTACTTTAGAAAATTATTAAAAATACTTAAAATTTATTTGTAGAGAAAAAAAACCTGAAAAATAAAGTAAATTTAAACACTTTAAAATTCTCTTTTCTTTAAAATGACTTTAAAACTTATTTAAGAATAACTGAAAAAAACTAATGTCATCGTTGAAAAACTTCAAAATAAGTTGAAGTTATTTTCGTGCGCGCGCTCTCTTAAACTTTTAGACATTTTAAATCACCTCAATATTTTTTAAATGACTCTTAATTAAAACTCTTAATTATTTTTAAAAATTTTAAATTTATTAAAAGTAAATTTTCCCAAGCGCATGGTGAAAAGATTAGATTTTAGATTTAGATTTTAGATTTTTTTTAGGTTTCTTAGATTTTAGATCTTTTCGTGCAGTGATGATCGAAGAGGATCGCTTCAGACCGAATGTGGCCGCACCTTTGCGAGTATCCGCAGAGTGGGTACGACACGCGGAAGTGGAGGAGCGACTCGCGCCAGCATCCCTCCGCGAGTTCCTCTCGTTAGTCGGCGATCGCGCGGCGAACGGCACGGTTCTCGATCGTACATTGTGTGGATTTTCTTCCTTTTCCTTTTTCCTTATTACGTCGAAGACATCCTCTTCGGAACGCGAATACGTGCTCGCGAAGATACGCCTGAATTCCTCATCGAGGAGTCTCGCATGTCGCTCTTCATCATCGTAATTCAATCCCAGTTTCGTGATCGATTGGGTTACGGCAGAAAAGGACGATCAAATTCGCGCCGCGAATGGTATTGTGACGCGTGATAATAATGCTATGATCAGCAAAGGAGAAACGATCAGCATGAGATGTTTCGAGAGCTTCTTCAAGCACACCTGGCGACCACAGCAGGTGCGTCAGGTAAATGAAAACTAAATTCCGCCGTTGTTTTTAACGTAATGACCCTGATCTGGCTTTATCACTTCAGAAATGTGCCGATCGACACGTCGGACCTACTAGTTTGATATTCTGTTCGCGATTGCATCACAGAACGATGTATTGTATTGATACGTGCTATCAGTACAATAGTTGCATACAGAAAAAATGGTTCCGCTGAAATAAAAGTTAAGATAATATAGATCTAAAAATAACCCAGATAACAAAAAGTGTCTAAAATCGGGTTATAAGATGTTTTTTGCGTCTAAAAAATGATTTAAAATCTTACGTCACAATTTTAGACTTTATGTTGTTTGGGAATTATGTTGGATTACTAAAATAACTATGTTGGAAGCTCAAGCATGATGATAATATGTGGAAAAAGATTTCGACATTTTGGTAATTAAGCTGAGCGCCTAACAATTATTTAGATGGTCCAACATAATTATTTTCAAATCTATATCTAAATAAAATTTATATCTAAATAAAATCTACAGCTAAATTTGTAGATACTTCAATTATATTTCTTCTGCGCGTTTATTAAATCAAATCCCTAATCCTTTTTTTTAACAAATAAAAAAAACAAATTGAATCGTTTATTTTTCAATTTACACTTTTATTATTTTAATGTAAAATTTAATATATTTTAATGTTTTGTAATAATTTTATTTTATTATTCAATCTTCGATTGGTTCCGGACGACGATGTTTTAAATACGCTTAAAACTTGTAAATAAAAACTGTTTCAGAAGGTAAAAAAAAAAAAATATTAGCATTAACCAGCTCTTTCATAAGAATTTCATCATAAAGTAGGCGTCTTTTTCCATCGCTAAAAGATAACAAAAGCCATGTGTCAAATTTTTACATGCAAATTTACTAAAACGCATAGACATTTCGCAAGAATGCCTCAACCACCGAAGCTTAACACAACTTCCTGTATTTCTGAAGACGTCATAATGACTATGAGTTGCTAAGTGAAAACAAAACTATTTTTATATTTTTCAAGATTATTTTTATTTTTTTCCTTGTTTGCTGTTGGTATTTTTATTAATATCCAAAAATTTAAAAATACATTTTATAATAAAAAAAGAATAGAGATCTGCAACAATAACGATAAAATAACATTAATAACTTAGTGCTTTCTGCATCAAAAGATTATTTTTGCATTTTTCGTAATTTTTTCTTGGCTGTTGGTTCTTATTAGTATCCAAAATACATTCTTCAATAAAAAAAAGAATAGAAATTTGCAAGAATAACAATAATAATTCCTAAATAATTTTCTGCAATTTTCGACCAAATCGCTATATCCTTAAAATAATTTATTTGAAATGTGATCTACTCATCCTCAATTCATTCATCGCAATAAAAATCAAAATCAATAACTGATAACCGATGAGAGATAACCAATTAGAAATCCCTCTCGTAATTAATAATGCAAACTCAAGAGAATAAAAAGGTTATAATAATCAGCGCTGTATTAATAAGAGCACTTAAATTTACATATCAAAATAAATATTCAATACATTTTAATTATAAAATAATATTTTATAAATTATTT